AGTGTCCAGTATTGAAGTGGTTAATCCAGCAAGTGTGCATTGTAATCTGTATAATGTCTGCTCATTGGTGTATTTATTAGGGGTGGTGTAGTATGAAATTTCAGCGCATCACACTGTTTAGCTTTTTCTTTTTTTCCCTACTTTATTGAACCCTCTAAAAATCACATCTTTCATATTTATGCAGTTTAGCATAAATATGCAACCTCTTACTTTTTTTCAGCGCACACCAAATTGCTTTCTCTATGTGTTGGAACTGAATTGGTTAACGTAGCCCCCATGCGGCTAGTGTGAATGAGCCCTTATGGAAATAACACAGTAGGTTCCGGCTCACCCTGCTCCAACACTAAACACTCTGTCTCAGCATGTGGGCAGCTGTCAGTTTCGGCTGCAGTGAGAGAGCAGGGTGTGTGATGTGCGTTTTTGTTAACTTTGGACCCATTCACACCAGAAGCTGCATGTAACTGCATTTTTTCCTCGTACCTATGCATGTAATTGATGCACATTTTTTCATGCAGTTGATGCGCATTTTACATGCAGTTGATGTGCACTTTTCTAACTGCATTTGATCTTTGAGGCCTCTTCCTTCTTCTTTAATTTGGCTTCCACATGCACTGTGATGCATTTTTGCAGTATGGAAAAATGCAGCCTGCTGTACTTTTCTGCACTGCGCTTGAACTGCACTGCAATGGTGTGAACTGTGCCCCTAGGATTGCCGAGATTGTCTATGCAGTTGGGAGTGCAGTTCAATATGCAGCCAACTGCGTTTGGTGTGAAAGGGTCCTTTATTTGAAGGGCACAAAGGGTCTGATTTACTAAAACTAGAGTGCAAAATCTGGTGCAGCTCTGCCTAGAAACCAATCAGCTACCAACTTTTATGGTCAAAGCTTAACTGAACAAGCAGAAGTTAGAAGCTGATTGGTTTCTAGGCAGAGCTGCAACAGATTTTGCACTCCAGTTTTAGTGAATCAACCCCAGAGTGACATGGGCCGTACAGGAGGCTTGGCTCTCGTCTGACAGCCTGTCCTGTCACTGGATGACCATTCACTTGTAGCTGCTGCGCTCCAGTTCTCCAGCAACTTCTCACATCAGACATTATCAAAACCAACAGCGTGACTTCTCAGGTTCTGATACTCCCAACAATTAACGTCTGATAATAGGCAGTCAGTGAAGACAGCTCATTGGCTCAAAGCTATCAGCCCCGCCCCTCTGTTGCTGCCACAGTGTCGCTCTGATTGGCTTGTCCCTGCTCTGCTCATGTCAGCTTACCATGACCAGAGGTCGCGCTGCCTTCTGGGAGATGCTGTCCTCTCTGCATTCTGTGACCTGAATACAGGAGATCTAAAAACTACAACTCCCAGGTGTCTCTGCGGCCACAGGCAATCCCTCTTTATTAAGTTGCTGCACCAGTGATCAGGGAGAGATATCACAGCTATGAGTGAGGGGACGTGAGTATGACAGTTTTGTGTCTATGTGCTAATCTTTGTGTCCTGAATGAACATATTGGTGTACAGCAACTGCACTTCTAATGAGAAAATGCAGCTTTTTCTACAGTTATACAGAACACAGCTCCTTTCATTCATAAAATTAGTTCAGCCAACATATTTATTTATTATTTATTACAGGTACTTATATAGCGCCGTCAATTTACGCAGCGCCTTACATATATATTGTACATTCACATCAGTCCCTAACCCTCAAGGGGCGTACAATCAAAGGTTCCTAACACACATTCATACATACACGTTCTAGGGAGAAATTTAGACAGGAGCCAAGTAACATACCAGAATGTCTTTGGAGTGTGGGAGGAAACTGGTGTACCCGGAGGAAACCCACGCAGGAACAGGGACTGCCAGGCGGAAATTCTAACTTATACAATAAATGGTGTGTAACATGGATGGCTGAGACAAATAAATATATACATTTCCATGTACTGGAATGCACTGAAAATTTGCATGGGTAACTCAGACTTTTAAAAGGGTATTAATCCAAAAATTAATAGAATTATTATTAAATTAATTATTAAATTAATATAATTATAATATAATATTTTGCAGCATACCAATGCAGACACAATTAGGCGCTGCAGCATTTTGTATTTAATAGGAGGCCATAGCTCTGCTTAGTCCCTGGTCACACTGGTGCAACTTCAGGTGTGATATGCGATTTACAAATCGCACCTGAATTCACATCTAATGTATTTCAATGGCACTGTCTTAATCAGTCCGATTTGAAGTAGCGTGATTTCAAAAATAGTTCATGCACTACTTTTACCCCGATTTCATTGCAACTTGCATTGTTAAATGAAGTTGCAAGCCGCACTGCAGTTGCACTGGTCGGCTGCTTTGAATTCAGGCTACTTTAAGTTGCATTCAGTGTGAACCAGGGCTAAAAAAGGAAAAAAACAGAAATTCTGACCGACTTTTTTTTTTTTAGCACATATTCGAAAATAAAGGTATATAATGGGTTGTTCCCTCCAACACAGATATTTGCTTTAAAAAAAAAACATTTGAAAAATAGTGCCTATGACATATTTTAAGGTAAAATACATTTTTTCTGCTTTATATCAGGTGCCTGCGCAGAAGGGGGGGCCCTTATAAGACTGATCCAGTGACAGATCTCACACGCTGGCGCCTGGCTTGCAAAGAAGGAAGGCAAACCTGGCACTATGTGGAAGACGAAGACCGACCACAAAGTCTGCTGGAGGCACATTCTGTAGGAGTGACTGTGGTAAATAAAAATACGCAACCATATAACTGAACATAATATAGTGTACTTCATGGTAATTGGATGTAATGGCTCTCCTGAACACCAGGAAATGTGGGGACTGTCACAAAAGGCTAAAGCAAAAGTTCACCTTTTGGACAAAAATAATAAATGCACATTTTTTTGCAGGTAAAAAAATGTGAATTTATTATTTTTGTCCAAAGCAGCCTGTAAAGCATTGCACCAGAAATCAAAAGATCGCTGATGCCATGCAAGTCTCTTGCAGACCTGTCAGAATATCTGCTTGCCATATGAGATATATGAGCAAGCAGATATTCTGACAGGAAGCTTCAATGAACTACCACGGCGCTCCACAAGTCTGACAGATAATACGGGGAAACTTCTCCCTGTAATATCTGTCAGAGAGAGAGGGGGTGGTGGACGAGACTGCAGCTATGAGAACATGTTACATGTGCCACCATAAAAATGGGGTGGAACATGTCACATGTTCTCAAAGGTGAACTTATCCTTTAACTCCACCTTTTGCAAAAAAATAATAAATGTGCATATATACATATTGATTAATAAAAGATGTGCATTTATTATTTTTTGCATAGGAGCCTGCAAAGCATTTCAACTGCAATCAGACTATTCTTGCATCCGCATGCATTGCATCCAAGGTACAGACCTTCAAGTATGGGGCCAGAGGAAGTATCAGTGGATTGCTGTGACAGATCAACCACAGATCCAAGCCAAATTCAAATAATGACAGGAGATGGCCAGGAACAGAACCTATATCCTATAAAAGAGAGGGGGGTTGGGGGGGTAGGGGCTGCAGGATGTGAACATGTTGCATGTTACACCCTAAAATTGGATGTAACATAGAAGCATAGTCATAAAGGTAGACTTAGTCATGAGAGAAATATGTAGGCTGTCAGTTTGACCACTTGTTGAAAATGCTATTTGCCTGGCGGTGATACTGATTCTTTGCCTATACTACTTTCTGAATCACTTGTTTCTGACAGTGCATACCTGTTTTGGTTCTGTACCTCAGAAGTACTGAAGCCAGAGACAGCCAGGCAACAAGCATTTTCAGAATGAGAACATCAATGAAAGATTCTGTACCTCAAGTCCCTTATGCTAACCCTTTACCAGCAAACTAGCACATAGTTCAAAGTTCTGTACATTATGATGAAGATTTACTAAAACTGGTGCACACAGAATCTGGTGCAGCTGTGCATAGTAACCAATCAGCTTCTAACTTCAGCTTGCTTTGAAAATAAAACCTGGAAGTCGATTGGATACCATGCAAAGCTGCACCAGATTCTGTGTGAACCATTTTTAGTAAATCTCCCCCATGTGTATTTGTAGCCTATTTACTGCAGCTACTATGAAACTTCCCCTTTCTGTGTGCATTTTAGTGCTGCTTGTGTTTGTGTGAGTTAAGTAATGTATATTGTTTTATACAGAGTGAGCTTCTGAAGGAGTTACCAAAGGCCCTTACAGCCCAGGATGGAGCGGAAAATGGAATGACGTTTTATTCTGCTTTACAAGCTGAAGATGGACATTGGACTGGTGACTATGGAGGACCTCTTTTCTTAATGCCAGGTAAGGATTTCCAGCATTGTTTAACTTGATCTCAGCCTGCCTTTGATGCTGTACATGTAACATAAATATGTGGTGTCTTCTCAGGTCTCTTGATTGCGTGTCATGTGACTCAAACATCACTTCCCGAGGCCACAAAGAAGGAGATGGTACGCTACTTGCGCTCTGTGCAGCTTCCAGATGGCGGATGGGGACTGTAAGTTGACAACATACTTTTAAACCACTTGCCCTCCAGAGGATTTACCCCCTTCCCTGACCAGGCCATTTTTTGCGATACGGCGCTGTGTTAGTTTAACAGAAAATTGCGCGGTAACACAATACTGCACCCAAATGAAATTTACGTCCTTTTTTCCCACAAATAGAGCTTTCTTTCAGTGGTATTTGATCACCTGTGCGTTTTTTTTATTTTTGTGCTATAAACAAAAAAAGACCGACAACTTTGAAAAAAAAAAAATATTTTTGACTGTTTGCTATTAAACATGTCCAGTAAAAAAATTGAAAAAAATCAAATTTCGTCATAAATTTAGGTCAAAATGTATTCTGCTACATGTCTTTGCTAAAAAAAAAATCCTAATACCTGTAAATTAATTGGTTTACGTGAAAGTTATACGTTTACAAATGGTGTGTGTATATACTGGATTTTTTATTTATTTATTTATTTATTTATTTTTTTACACTAGTAATGGTGGAGATCAGCGACTTATAATGGGACTGCGGCGGGCATTCTAACACTAGGGGGGAACTGACTTGGTGTCACTGATATCCCCAGTGACACTAATACAGTGATCAGTGCTGATAAAAAGCAGTGACACTGTACTAATGGCACTGGGCAGGAAGGGGTTAACATGTTGGGCGATCATAGGGTTAACTGTGCTGTTTTGCTATGTGGGCTGTGTGTGCTTTACACTGTAAGCACACTGCTTTGTATGGCTCTGCTATGCAGAGCCATACAAAGCAGTGTGCAAGAGCTGACAGGGGAGAGATCTGTATTATTTACATACAGTTCTCTCCCCCCGTTGGATCGCGGGTGCGGTGGGGAATCACTGGCCGGGACTTGGTGATTGACAGCCGAAGCTGCGAATGGTGGAACTGCAAAATCATAGATATATATGGGTTTTTGCTCTACCTGTGCTTCCCTGGAGCCGTATTTCTGCTAAAGTCGGCACGGAAGCAGTTAATATAGGATTATTGACCTTCTGTTCACATCAGAATATGTATTTTCTGCACTAATGATGTGGCAGGGGCTAACCCATATGTTTACAGTGCCATGTCACAGGTGGCCATACACTAGGAGAATTTTAGTTTTCAGAACATTTGCTTGATTTTCTAACTGATGATCATTTTCTCATACTGATGAGAAAATTTTCAAGGAGCAGGACTGAAATTTTTTATTGAATGAATACATTTCTAACAGTGTATGTGGTTTTCATTTCGGAAATTCCGTTCATATCAAAACCGAATATTTAAAGCAAATGCAGTTTTTAAGTACTTTCGAACAACATTTCTCATGTCTCTGTTGACAATACTGAAGGTACTAAAAAAATTGGCAGCTCTTTGTGTCTGTGGCTATGCACTGGTTCCCAATGTGTGAACCTATCCTTACAGTTTATACTGCTTTTATTACAAATAATGGTCAGTTTAAAGGAAATTCTCAGATGCACATTCTGGCACTCATATACTCATCCCTGATTTATTATATAGCAAGTTGCTAAATAAGCATACAATCCTCTCAAGGCTGTGATTATCCATGTTGCTTGTGCACCTTTTTCTACCACACTTTTTCCTTCCACTGATATGCTTAGATACAGCACTCTGTGAACAGCCAGCTTCTTTAGCAGGACCGTTTGTGACTTACCTTCCTTGTGGAGGGTGCCAATGACTGTCTTCTAGACAACTGTCAAGTCAGCAGTTTTCCCATGATGTGTAACCTACTGAACCAGACTGGAGACCATTTAACCACTTGAGCTCCTGAGGATTTACCCCCCTTAATGACCAGGCCTCTTTTTGCTACTCGGCGCTGCACTAATTCAACTCATAATTGCACAGTCATGCAATGCTGCACCCAAACAAAATTTACGGACTTTTTTTTCACACAAGTAGAGCTTTCTTTCGGTGGCATTTGATCACCTGTGCGCTTTTTATTTTTCACGCTATAAACAAAAAAAGACAAAAATTTTGAGAAAAACAATATTTTTTACTTTCAGCTATAATAAATATATAGTAAACTCAGTTAGTTATGAATTTAGGCCAAAATGTATTCTGCTACATGTTTTTGGTAAAAGAAATCCCAATAAGTGTATATTGATTGCTTTGTGTGAAAGTTATAGCGTCTACAAACTATGATATACTGGTAGATACTGCAATTCACGCCATTTTTTTGCTTTGTAGCGCTGCGCTAGTTTAACGGACAATTGCACGGTCATGCAATACGGTACATAAATGAAATTTATGTCTTTTTTTTCACACAAATAGAGCTTTCTTTTGGTGGTATTTGATCACCTGTGCACTTTTTATTTTTGGCGCTATAACCAGAAAAATTTTGAAGAAAAATTTTTGTTTTGAAAAAAACAATATTTTCTCATTTTGGTCATAAAAAATATCCAAAAAAACTAAAATGTCGTCATAAAGTTAGGCCAAAATGTATTCTTCTACATGTTTTTGGTTAACAAAATCCCAGTAAATGTACTGTATATTGATTGCTTTGTGTGAAAGTTATAGCGTCTACAAACTATGGTATAGATCAGGGGTCTGCAACTTTTAAGACATAAAGAGCCACTTGGACCCGTTTCCGAAGGGAAAAAAAAGACTGGGAGCCGCAAAACCATTGCAACATTTAAAACAAATCCCAACGTCACCAGGCACTGTACTCGTGGCGAGGCGGACCTGAACCACGTTGAGTAGCTACGCCGTATAGTAATTCATCCCCCATATAGTAATTCATCCCCCATATAGTAATTCATCCCCCCTATAGTAATTCATCCCCCTATAGTAATTCATTCCCCATATTGTCTCAATTCACTTACCTTTGCTCCCGCGCGTTCCTCTCGCTGTTTTCCCGCGCTGTGTTCCGGTCTTCAGGGCGGACTGTGAGAGGAGAGGAGTTCGTCACGCTGCCCCGCCTACATCCTGGCTGCCCCGCCTACATCCTGACAGCCAATGTTCCACGCTCCGCGGGCCGGATTAAAAGAGTCCTGACTTTTGAGGCGGCCGCCCGAGAGGAGGGAGGGGAGCGGGTGCCCGGCACACAGAAGAGCCGCATGTGGCTTGCGATCCGCGGCTTGCCGACCACTGAAACCCTATTGCCTGTCACCTGGTGGGCAGTGTGCTCCGGAGCCGCAGCAAAGATGAAAAAGCGCCGCATGCGGCTCTGGAGCCGCGGGTTGCCGACACCCGGTATAGATAATGGAATTTACACAGCTTTTACTTTCTGACTGCCCATCACATTTCTTGAGGTGCTAAAATACCAGAATAGTACAAACACCCTCAAATGACCCCTTTTCAGAATGTAGACACCCTAAGCTATCTGCTGAGTGGCATATTGAGTCCATGGAAGATTTATGTTTTTCCCACAAGTTTCTGGAAAATGACAAAAACATTTTTTTTTTTACACAAAGTTGTCATTTAAATGATTTATTTCTCACACAAGCCATGGGTATATGTGGAATTACATCCCAAAATACATTCTGATACTTCTACCGAGTATGGGGATACCACATGTGTGAGACTTTTTGGGAGCCTAGCCACATACAGGAGCCTGAAATCCAATGACCACTTTGAAAGCCTGAAGGTGCGTAGCTTCCTCATTACACTTCCTCACTACCTATCACAGTTTTGAAGGCCCTGACATGCCAGGATAGCACCAACCCCTCCCCAAATGACCTCTTTCTGGAAAGTAGACACCCCAAGGAATTTAAAAAGAGGCATGGTGTGTATTTTGCAGATCTAATTTTTTTCACAAGGTTTTGAAATATAAAAAAGGAATACAAAAAATATGTTTTTGTTTTTTTTTCTTCATTTTCCAAAAACTTGTGGCAACAAATGAGATCTGAAAAATACTTACCGTGCTTTTTATCAAATTCCTTGGGGTGTCTACTTTCCAAAAAGGGGTCATTTGGGGGAGGTAAGGTGCTATCCTGGCATTTCAGGGCCTCCGAAACTGTGATAGGTAGTCTGGAAGTGTAATGAGGAAATAAAGCCGTTTAAAAGCCTGAAGGTGCTTATTGGATTTTGGGGTCCTGTACTTGGCTAGACTGCCAAAACGTCTCTCACATGTGGTACCCCCATACTCGGGAGAAGTAGCAGAATGTATTTTGGGGAGTAATTCCACATATACCCATGGCATGTGTGAACAGTAAATCATTTAAGTGACAATTTTGTGTAAAAAAAAAAATTTTTTTTTTTTTGTCATTTTCCAAAAACTTGTGGTAAAAAATAAATTCTATTAATTCAACATGCCTCGCAGCAAATAGTTTGGGGTGTCTACTTTCCAAAAAGGGGTTGTTTTGGGGGGTGGGGCATTCTATGCCCAGCATTAGAAGTTTATGCCACACATCACTCACTCTTCTAACCACCTGAAGACCAAGCCTTTTCTGACACTTTTTTGTTCACATGAAAAAATATGTATTTTTTGCTAGGAAAAATTCATTTAAACCGCCAAACATTATATTTTTTTTAAAGCAGACACCCTAGTGAATAAAATGGTGGGTACTACAATTTTTTATGGCATATAGTACTCGCGGAGCGATTTTTCAAAAGCAAATTTAAAAAAAACAAACACTTTTTTTACTTTTAATGCACAAAAACACAATATATTGGCTAATTACTTGGTACAATATAAAAGGTAATGGTATGCCGAGTAAATAGATACCAAACATGATATGCTTTAAAACTGCGCATGCCCTGTGCAATGGCGACAAACTGCAAACATTTTTAATATCCATAGGCAACGATTTAAAAGCCTTTAAAAGTTACCATTTTAGATTTACAGAGGAGGTCTAGTGTTAGAATTACTGCCCTTGATCTGAAGTTCATGGCAATACCTCACATGCATGGTGGAACCGCGCTGTTTACAGACCGGCACAGGGTCAAGGCTTGTGCATACAGGTGTGCGTGCATGGGAGGGGCGATTTTTTTTTTTTAAATTTTTTTTTTTATAGTTATTTTGATTTTGTTTGTATTATTTTTGCATTGTCCCTTTATTTTTTTTTTTTATCACTTTTAATGCTATAACAGGGAATGCAAATATCCCCTATAACTTCAATGGGCATTGTCATATTCTTTTTTGAGAAATCTGGGGTCTATCAGACTCTGGATATCTCCTCTGCCCTTACATTATCTAATCAAACCAAAATCGGTGTGATCAGATGCTTTCCCAATATACAAATGGCCTGTTTATATTCTGCGAAACTGAAGTGATGAAATGCTTATAGCTTCCGAATTCTTAGACTATAGAGATGATTGGCACCACTCTGGTCTCCAATCAGCTCTATGGTCAGCTGGCAGAGACACCGGCTGCATTCTCAGGTTCCCCGATGGCTCGAGACTGCCCGAGAAGGCCGTGGAAGGCAGGGGGGGAGGGGGGGGGGCATCATCTTCCGCTGCTTGTAAAAGCAATCCTGAAGCTAATTAGCCACTAGGATTGCTTTTACATGAAAGCCGATCGCCAGCTGAAAAAAAACGAACCAGATGATGCCTGCAGCTGTAGGCATCATCCTGGTATAACCATTCAAAGTCCAGTGATGTACCAGTACGTCGCTGGTCCTTGTTGGTATATATACTATATTCTTTTTTTTTTTTTTTGTATGCAGCCTGTGGACTGAATGAAAAAATGAGACAAAATCTCTGCCAGAAAAAGTGTGTGGTATGCCCACCATTAGAATATACCGCCCTGCATCCACGCACTTCTAATGGTGGGCACACATTAGGTCACACTTTGCCACATGCGCCAGTTCCAAGATTGTACAAATGTCTAAATAGTGGCACGCTTGAATAAAAATTGTCCACGTATAAGTGGTACCCCATATGGAAAAAGGATGACACCAAGTCCCAAACTATCTTGCCACTGCTCCCCATGTAGTCTGGGCATCCAGGAGGCTCCATGTGACTATCTTTTCCCTCGAAAATCCAAAACTTATAAGTATAACCTGTTGCCCTCTCACAGGTCTTCTACATCTTGACCCAATATCTGGCACACTTGCAGGGGAGAAATTGTTTGAATGCAAGGCGGCCAGAAAAATTAATGAGGGACTCCTCAACGCAGATGTTTTGCTGGGGAGTATAGACATCTGCAAATTTTTGGTTAAGGTGATTTGCGAGGGGCTGAATTTTGTGGAGCTGGTCAAATTCAGGGTTACCCCGAGGATGACAGAGTGTATTGTCGCTGAAATGCATAAAACACATTATACTCTCATATCAATGCCTGGCCATGGCAGCAGAGAACACGGCATATGATGAATTGGGTCTGCGGACCAATACAACCGCAATTCATTTCTTTTAGTAATGCCCATGTTGAGGGATAGGCCCCAAAAAAATGTAAATTCTAAAACCGTAATGAGTTTCCATGCGAATGGTCTGGCAAGGTTTGAATTTGGGTTGTCGGCGATAAGTTGTTGTGCATATAAATTGCTTTGATCCACAATCAACGCATACAGATATTCCGTGAAAAACAGCTCCAGAAATCAAGGAGGTATGTGAAAGACCAAGATGTACTAGACAGCTGGTACTCGTCAGTTCGACCAAAAGGTAGAGCGACACTAGTACTGGCAGTCTGCTGCATATGAGAGTCATCAAAATTTACCGGAAAGCGCTAACAGAGATCAGGCCTGATTCTGCGAACACTGCTGTTTTGTGTGCAATGTATCAAGTGACAGTGACCTACTGACACTGCATTTGCTGTGGGCTCCCAATCGGGGGTAAGCGTAGGGGCTAAACGCAGGTACTGGCAGGTGCCGAGGCTGATCCCGCTAACGCTGCATTTTTGGGGACGTTATACTAATGTGAACGCTGGTATAGTGCTGATCTGATCAAAGATATTGACCCGTTCAGAAACTATACTACCAATCGAGGTTTATTGTGCATGAGCGTGTTCCTGGCAATCAAGGGGTTAAATGTGATGACTGGTGTACTGAAGGGCAATCTGATGCTATCTGGGAGGGGCGTGAAAACCACGGAAGCGTGAATCACGTATATATATATATATGTGATTTTGCGCACCTATGCCGCCCTGTAGTAGTATTTCTGCTGTAGGGTGGTCAGGAAGCGGTTACAGAAGCAGTTTGTGTTACGTCGCTGCGTTACTTTAACTGACAATTGCATGGTCATGCAACACTGCACCCAAATTAAATTTACATCCTTTTTCCCCACAAATTAAGCTTTCTTTCGGTGGTATTTGATCGCCTGTGCGTTTTTTAGTTTTTGCGCTATAAAAAAGGTTGACAATTTTGATAAAAAAAAACAATATTTTGGACTTTTTGCTATAAAACATGTCCAGTAAAAAATGTAAAAATCAAATTTAGTCATAAATTTCTGCCAAAATGTATTCTGCGATATGTCTTTGCTAAAAAAAATCCCAATACGTGTAAATTAATTGGTTTACGTGAAAGTAATAGTGTCTACAAATGGCGGGAAAGACTCTGGGATTTTTTTTTTTTTATTATACTAATAATGGCGGTGATCAGCGATTTATGGCGCTGATCAGCGATTTATGACAGTGATCAGCGACTTATGGCGGGACTGTGGCGGACATTTTGACACTGGGGGGGAACTGACTTGGGGTCACTGACATCCCCAGTGACACCAATACAGTGATCAGTGCAAAAAAAAAAACACTGACACTGTACTAATGGCACTGGGGAGGAAGGGGTTAACATTTTTTAGGCAATGAAAGGGTTAACTGTGTGAGGGGAGTGTTTTACTAGGGGGCAGGGGGGGGGGTGTACTTCACTGGAACAGGCTGATCCAGAGAGATAAACTCTTCTCTCAGGTTCAGCGTGCTCTGAGCTGACAGAGAGCAGACTTGCAGTGTAAACACTGCAGCCGTGCTCTCTGTCAGTGATTGCCGGTAATCGTCAGGACCCATCGGTTAATGACCGGCCGGGATTCGGTGATGGACAGCCGCTGCCGCGTTCGGTGGGACAGGTAGGGCGGGCACGCGCCTTGCCCGCGCCCCCTAGCTGTTTTGCAGAGCGCCATTAAAAAACGGCGTTCTGCCCAGAGGTGCTGCCCTGCCGCAGTAAAAACACTGTGGCTGGTCGGCAACCAGTTAAAGGCTTAGGAAACCTTCACAGGTGTTTTGAGCTAATTAGCTGATTAAGTGTGACACCACGGGGTTGATTTACTAAAGCTGGAGAGTGCAAAATCAGGCTCACTTCTGCATAGAAACCAATCAGCTCCTAATCTCAGTTTATTCAATTAAGCTTTGGCAATAAAACCTGGAAGCTAATTGGTTTCTAAGCAAAGGTGAGCCTGATTTTGCACTCTATAGCTTTAGTAAATCAACCCGCATGAGTCTCAAATATTGAACTTGTACATGAAACATCAAAATGAAAAGAAAGAAATGTTTGAAATATATCACTCTGTGTGTGATGAATCTATATAATATAAGGGTTTCACTTTTTGAATTGAATTAATGAAGTAAATTAACTTTTTGATTTTCTAATTTATTGAGATGCATCTGTATCTTCTAGGTTAGAAAATCAGATCAATAAGTAGTAACGGCAGGATGAGAATATTAATCACTAAGCTTTCACCTTTAAAAACAAGTTAGCCGTGGTAACCTCTGTCCTGACAGGTTCTGTTCTGACTGATTCGTCCATCCACATCTGGCTAAACAAAAGCAAATAAATAACAATATATTTCCAGCTTAAAGCTGGCAATAGATGATGTGTTTTCTTTTAAATATCAGTGAAAGAACTGATCGAAAAAAAAAAAGGAAAAGATACCCCCATCCACACAAATGAGGTGAATGGAGTAATCCTCCCATGTGCTATTGTATTCTGAGAGCGGGGACTCCTCTACTGTTAGAATACACTGATCAGCGCTGCAGATGATTGGCTGCAGCTGCTGATCGAATGAAAATTTTCCAACGGTCCCATTCGACATCTCTCGAGCGGGAACAGTCATAGTTGGATCACAGTTGGACTTTTTCCAGTCCTCGCTGAACCAGCCGAATTTTGATCCATCTATAGACAGCTTAAGGGTTTAAACGCACTTTAAAGATGGCTAAAGGCATTTAAAAATGTGTGATTTAAAAAAAAAATGATATTTTGCATGTGTTTGAGTGTAATGAAATTTTTATTCTGGCTGAGGATCTCTAGTAATGAATTATCTTCAATTCAGGCATATTGAAGATAAAAGCACTGTCTTTGGCACAGCTCTCAGTTATACCTCTTTACGTCTGCTGGGAGTTTCACAGGATGACCCAGATCTGACCCGGGCCAGGAACAATCTTCACAGCAAAGGTAAGTTGTATACAGAAAAATGTCTCCTTCCTTCCACAATTGATTTTTGCAGCTTAAAACATCTTTCAGGTTCTTTTGACTGTCCAAGCAGAGGTCTCTTTCAGCTTCCATGAACTTCCATGCAGCAATGCAGAGGTCTCTTGCAGTTTCTCAGTTTTAGGGGGCTGGCCAGGTGATCATATATAGCACCAAAGTGCAGCCTGTCCATTCTGACATAATGGTAGTCTATGATGTAAAGTTGCTTTACCAGGGAGCCTTCCGGAAGCACTGAAAGAATTATGGAAGGCTTTACTGAGAAAAAATACTCAGACTGTCATCACCATTTGAAAACACTAGTCTGGCTGTTGTGCTGACCCAGTTGATTTGATAATTCAAGACAAATATTGAAACAGGCATGCAAAATAAGAGTTTTGAATTTATTCTTCACTTGATGCATGTCTGTGATTTAAAATGTACTAAATTTGGAGGCAGCCTCACAACTCACAGTTATGCTCCTGGTCAGGGTTAAAGTGTTACTAAATACAGGACCCTGCATTCACTATATCTGGTCTCCCACAGTACACACAACGTGGAAATGCAATTATATTCTACACTCCACCGAAACTGCCTTACTCAAACTCTCCAACGACCTGCTAACCGCCAAAGCTAATGGCCACTATTCAGTGCTCCTACTCCTTGACCTCTCTGCGGCCTTTGACACAGTCGACCACCCCCTCCTCCTCAAAAAACTACACTCCCTCGGCCTCAGAGATTCTGCTCTCTCCTGGCTCTCATCCTACCTGTCAAAACGCTCTTTTAGTGTTACCTATAATGCCACCACCTCCCTCTCACTCCCCCTCTCTGTTGGGGTCTCTCAAGGCTCTGTCCTCGGGCCCCTTCTCCATCTACACCTCCTCCCTTGGCCAACTCATACACTCTCACGGCTTCAACTACCACCTCTATGCCGACGACACACAAATCTATCTCTCAACCCCCCACCTCACCCCCTCGGTCTCCGCCCGAATCACACACCTGTTGAGCGACATATCAGACTGGATGTCGCTCCACTTCCTTAAACTGAACCTCTCCAAAACCGAGTTTCTTGTCTTCCCTCCAGCCCGGACACCACCCCCCATTGACTTCTCCATCATGTCCAACAACGCCACCATCAAACCCGCCCCGCAGGCCAGAGTACTTGGTGTCATTTTGGACTCCAACCTATCCTTCCAGCCCCAAGTCCACTCTTTAACAAACTCGTGCAGACTCCACCTCCGCAACATCGCCAAAATCCGCACGTTCCTAACTCCAGAAACCACTAAACAGCTCATCCACTCCCTCATCATATCACGACTCGACTACTGCAACTCCCTCCTCACTGGCCTGCCTCGCCGCTGGCTATCCCCGCTTCAGTCCATCCTGAATACGGCTGCCAGACTCATTCACCTTTCCAACCGCTCCGTTTCCGCCACCCCCCTCTGCCAATCCCTCCACTGGCTTCCGATTGCGCAACGGATCATATTCAAAATCCTAATGCTGACGTACAAAGCTGTCCACCATACTGCCCCGAACTACATCACTGACCTAATATCCAAGTACCGGCCAGCACGCACACTCCGCTCCTCACAAGACCTCCTTCTCTCTAGTTCCCTGGTCTCCTCCTCCCATGCCCGCCTCCAGGACTTCTCCAGGGTGTCACCCATCCTCTGGAACTCCCTGCCCCAACCCATCAGATTATCACCTACTCTCCTCTCCTTTAGGCACACCCTGAAAACCCACCTCTTCAGGGAAGCCTACCCCGCCCCCTGCTAACTTGCCGACCTCCTCCACTCTTCCTACCACTCCATCCCCCACAGCTATCTCCTCCTGTACCACCATCCCCTCCCTCCTAGATTGTAAGCTTGAAAGAGCAGGGCCCTCGATCCCCTCATGTTTTGCATTGTATTGGTATTGTTCTGTCACATGTTCTGTCCCCCTTTGTAATGTACAGCGCTGAGCGAACTATTGGCGCTTTATAAATACTGTATAATAATAATAATAATAATAATTTTAGTAAATATATACTGCTAAATACCTTTTCTCATCAGCAGTTAGAGTAGTCTTGTGACTTCTATCAGTGTTCAGCAGAGCACTTGTTAAAGCTTGTAGCAGGAGTTTTCTTTAGGAGGATGCAGAACCCCTGACCTCTGTCTGGGGCAGTGCTGATTGGCCCTGTGCTGATCACATGCACGTTACAAAAAAAAAAAAACTCTCTAGCAATATACACAAACCTGAGATTGTGCAGAGTGACTCCACACCATATATCTTATCAGGAGATAAGAGGGGGGCACTAGAAGAAGGGGAGGATCAGAGAAGACAGGATCAAACAGCCTTTTTACACAATGCAGAAGACTAACCCCTTAGGTTCCACAGTGAGTATAACAAGCATGCTTTACTGCATATACAGACTGATTTTATTTGGTGTGGGTTTAGTAACACTCTAACTCTGACCAGAGCAGTCTGGAAATGGTTGTTAATGTTAAAGTTGAAGTTAAATCTGATTAGATTTTGCCTTTTCTGGTTCCTCCTTTCATTCCTTATCAACGTGCTAATAAAATGTTTAAATAAAGCCTTTTTGTTTTTTGTTACATACATTATTTTAGTCCCAGTGATGTCATCGTTGGGTTTCTGTGCTTCTCTATGCAATTCATGCACATCATGGCTGTCACGGTCCAGCAAAGAGGAGTTATGCAAATATCAAAATCTCTTGATAGGTGGATGTTATTCTGGAGGAGTGGGTGTTCCTAGGCAGGCTGCATGTTTATGCAAACTCATATAAGTAAAGCCTGCATGTCATGCTAAGCCTCCATAAAAAAAAAACAAATCTAATAAAATAAAGGGGTGGGCAAGGGACAGTAAGACTGTGAAAGAAAGACTAGATGATGTTAGACGACTTCCTGCCAGGAAATGAGGTGGGCTCTATCTGACTTGCAGGTTCTAATGTGCACTGTAAGAGGCTCACAGTGTGCACTAAAATCAGAGCAAGCAATTTCAGTACAGGGCAGGAGTCTGTTTAACTATGCAAGAAAAAAAGGTAAGACTGGAGTTCAGTTTTAAATTCTGATAAATAATCTACACATGTTTTACGAGAATCAAGTTGAGACTAAAGAACTTTAATTTCCAGACTGCTGGAATTGAAAGGTAGAGTACTACAAATCACAACTTGCTTTTTTTTGTGTACTTTCCCATAGAGAAATACTGTAACAGGCTGCCATCACTGCCCTACTGAAAATACTAGTTGCCTGGCTTATATGTTGGCCCACTTGCTTTAATACTTTTTTAGTCACTGATTTGGAACAAGCATGCAGATCAGGAAAGTCAGATGCCACTATCTGTGATTGAAGCTAAGTATTGAAAGCAAGAAGGTCTGTCTTATATTTCCAAAATATTAAGACAGAAGCCACCTTGTTTCTGTCATGAAAGCTTAATTTAAAGGTCTTTAAGGCATCTCTCTTTTTTTATTCTGTATCATCTCTCTTTTTTTAATTCTGTTTATTGACTTGCTAAGATTTAAATACAAAACAGAGCCATTTGGGCATATCCTGGTTTCACAGCATACACAAAAAACATGGTAAAACCAACAAAGA